GCAAACCAAGGTTGTTTTATAAGAAAACCAGATTCTGAAAATTTAGGGTGGAGTTGGCTGATTCTGAGGTAAAACAAGCTCATCCGAAAATACAATAATAGATCTGGAACCATTTCAGGAATAAAGTATTGACCAAGAAATATCTGCCTCAATTTGTGACTTCAGTTTGAATTATTTCAACAACGTTTTACCATACAATTTTACAAACTATTCAAGAAATAAGAAAACAGTTGCACGGATCACTAAAATATATGAATATAAACTATATCCAATGATAAAGTCTAGGAAATATTGGGGGCAAATCTCCATAAAAATAGCACAATAATTATTTGCATCTGTTTCTCTATTCTAATATTTTAAAAACTCTGGGGAATGTACTAATTGTTCATGCATAGGACAGTCAATGGATATTTTACAGTTTTCTTTGTATTGCTCTGTCAGCATCATTCTGTACAATGTCTTAAGAGCCTCTTCTCATGGCTTCTGAATATAGGCTGCCTGGTGTTCCTCCCACCTCTCCTATTGCTCCTCTTTGCTAGTTTCTCTCTATCTGACCTGAACATGTCTTAACTCTTGCTCTAGGTTCTCTTCTCCTTTCATTATATGCAGCCTTCCTGAATGATCTCATTTACTCTGTGGCTTCAGTGACCACATACATGTGCACCGGCCTACCTGGCAGGTCTACTGACTATCAGTTACTTAAAACGATTTACCTTCTCAGCTATTACTTTGTCAAAACACCATCATCTCTCACTGGCCTTCCATGTTTCTTTAAAAGCCATCCAATTCTATTCATATAATGTGATCAGAACAATCTTTCAAAAACATAGTTGTCTATGGCAGGGTTAAATTTTCACGATGTACAACAATTAAGATGTAACTTGATTTTCCTAAAACTAGACCTCTTATTGCTCTTTTCTATTTTCTAACACTACATTATTTTTAATAAATCCTGGTTAAACTCAGTGACTTTCCATTTTTTTAGTGTTTTCTGAGTAAACTTAGTCATTTTAGGTTTCTGACTTTCCTCCTTTTCCCCTGCTCTTTATTTTCTCCTTTTTCATTCCACATCTAAGCTGTGGGAGGGGTGGGGGGCATTTGTGGCTTCATGGCATTAATGGATATAGGCTATTTGCTCTGGAGTTATTCTTGGCTTTTCAGCAGCATCTGTTGAGAGTAACTGCACTGTCTAGTTTTGTCCTGTGTCTGCTACATGTTCCAATGTCCTCCCTTACTCCTTGGTTCTGGGTTGTCAGGTCCACCCAGATTCCTGTGTCTGCACTTAGGCACTTCATCTGTTCTCTCGGGAACATGGAACAATTCAGATGTTTGCTAATTTAGCCTCAAACAAGTGTAGAAGAATATATAACTTTTCTACATGTGCATGGAGCAAAAGTTATTTCTCTACACCTGAAGGTAAAACAAGTCACTGAATTAAAATTCTCTCCAGATAAACTAAAAATTGTTTCTGATTGTTTTTTTAGGTTCATTACAAAAATTGGTACATTGAAGTGAACTAATTGACCTTCTAAAAAAATTCAGCTGCTATTAGGCCTAGTCAATGTCCCTGACAAAGCAATCTTGAGAAAAAAGAACAAAGCTGGAGACATCACACTTCCTGATTTCAAGCTATATTATAAAGCTATAGCAATCAAAACAGTATGGTACTGGCATAAAAATAGACACAGAGACCCATGGAACCAAACAGAGAGCCCAGAAATAAATCTAAGCTTACCATGTCTGGTTAACTAATTTTCAACAAGGGCACCATGAGTACATATGGGGAAAGAATAATCTCTTTAATAAATGGTGCTAGAAAAACTGAATATCTGCATGCAAAAGAATGAAACTGGACTCACATTACACTACATACAAAAATTAACTCAAAATGAATTCAACACTTAAACATAAGACCTGAAACCATAAAAATCCTAGAAAAAGAAACATAGAGAAAAACTCCTTGACATTGGACTTGGCAATGATTCTTTTAGATATGACTCAAAATCTCAGGCAACAAAAGCAAAAATCACCAAGTAGGACTATATCAAGATAATGAGCATCTGCACACTAGAGAAAACCATCAAAGAAATAAAAAAATAGAAAGGCAGCCTACAGAATGGGAGAAAATATTTGTGAGCCATATACCAAATAAAAGATTAATATCCCAAATATATATTAGGAATTCATACAATTCAATAGAAAACAAATAACATGATTAAAAATTGTCAAATGACCTGACTTATATAAATGGCCAACATTATATGAAAAGGTGCTCAATATCACTAATCATTGGAGGAATGATATCAAAATCACAACGAATCACCTCATATCTGTTAGAATCTATTATCAAAAAGATGATAAAAATACACTGGTGGGTTGTAGACAACAGGGAACTCTTGCACACTGTTGGTGGGAACGTAAATTGGGGCAGCTTCTATGGAAAAGATGTGGATGTTCCTCAGGAAACTAACAATAGAACTATCATGAGATCCAGAAATCCCTCTTCTGGGTATATATCTAAAGGAAAGAAAATCAGTACCTTAGAGAGGTATCTGTGTTCCAATGTTCATTGCAGCATTTTTTACAATAGCCAAAATATGGAAACAACCTACGTGTCTGTCAACAAATGGACAGATGCATGCACGATGAAAGAAAGAAATTCTGTCACTGCAACAACATGGATGGACTTGGAGGACATTATGGTAAATGAAATAAGCCAGACACAGAAAGATAAAACTGGATAGTCTTACTTATATACAGTATCTAAAAAAATTAAATATATAAAAGCAGAGTAGAATAGTGGTTATAAGGGGCAGACAGGGAAAAGATACAACATTGCAGTTTGCAGTTATGTAGGATGCGGAGGTCTGCAGAGCTGATGTAGAGCACAAGGACCACAGTTAATAACCGTGTACTGAATACTGGACATTTGATAGGAGAGTAGGTTTCAGATGCTTTCATCACACACACACAAAGACTAGGCCAACCATGTAAGAAGATATGTTAGCTTGACTGTAGTAATCATTTCTGTGTATTTAAATTAAATCATCATGCTGTACATCTTAAATATATACAATTATAAAAAATTCTCACCTGAGGATAATTTTCTATTTATCTTCAGATACAGTGGGAGGGAGAAAGAGAGACGGAGAGAAAGGGAAACATCTATGTGAGAGGGACACGTCGACTGGTTACCTCCTGCATGACCCCGCGACCCCAACCAGGGCCAGGGATGAACCACAGCTGAGGTACGTGCCCTTGACTGGAATTGAACCCTTGAGTCATTAGTTTGTGGGCCAATGCTCTAACCACTAAGCCAAACCAGCCAGGGCTACAATTTTTATTAAACACACACACAAGTTCAAAAGTGCAACTCATAGCAAAACATCAGTAGTCTCCACTCCCTGCATAGGAAGCTGCCATCCCTCACACTCCCCATTCCCACTGAGGACTGGGCTGAGCTGCTGACACAGGGAACACTACCAGGCTCCCTTGTTTCCCCTACATGATCAGCACCTCACTGCCTACATTCACCACGGCTGCCACAAACACAACCAAGAGGGAAGCCAGAGCCCCTGCCTCCCCCTCTGCTCCCATCTGGGCCTGGGTCATTGGTGGCAGTCCAACTGCTGGGTCTCTGGATTCTGATGTGTTAAACTGCTTCTTTAGAGGAAGAGAGTCAGGGCCAGGGCCTGAGAGCCGCAGGGGTGGAAAGGGCCTAAAAACCCACTTTGTGGGCAAGCTTTCTTTTTTTAAAGCTTCACCAAAATTCTTTTAAAATTTATTTATTTATTTTAGAGAAAGAGGGAGGGAGAGAGAAAGAAACATAGATTTATTGTTCCACTTATTTTATGCAGTTAGTGGTTGATATGTGCCCTGACCGAGGCCTGAGCTACCCATCTTGGTATATCGGTATGACGCTCTAACCAACTGAGCTACCCGGCCAGGGCTCACCACACGTCTTGAGAGCAATGTGGTGAGATACCTGATTGAATCATTTACTTTTCTTTCCTCCCATATTAGGCATATAGCCAGGCTCATCATAGTATTTTGATACCTGAGGGGTTTTTGCAGAAGCTTCAGGAGGTTAGCTGCTCTTCCTGTCTTTAGAAAGAGCAAAACTCACTGCCGAGGTGGTGCCAAGTGTGCTGGAGCGGGTGGTGAGAGAGTGGAGAACCTCTGAGAAAGTGAGAGAGGAGGAGCCAGAGGAGAAAGGTGCAAAAACCCCAGGGAGAGGTCAGCAGAGCCGGCAGTGGAGACCCCTGGGGAGGCGACAGTCTGAAGGATGATGGCTATCTGCATCATGTGTGGCCCAGGTGGGACTCCAGACTGGTCGGTTTCTGGGGAGCCCCGTGCAGCAAAGGGTGCAGAGCCTTCCAGCCTGAAGGGAGCATAAGGCCAGCTAGCAGATCAGTGTTCCTGTGTGGGCAAGAGAGTTGTCACTGAAGGGTCAGCCCGATCCTCACCCTGTGGGGCATGTATAAAGCTCTAGGGCCTTTGCACATCCTTGGGGAGCAGGTGGCCTGATTATGACTGAGCTGCATTCCCACAGTTTAGGAGAAAGGGGGCAGAATGTGATTCAGGTGGATTAGAAGAACATTTGATAATGCATCTGGATTTGTGTATCTGCAGAGGTTGGCACTTTCCACATGCTCCTCGAAGTCGCACTGACACGAGGAATTGATGTATTTCACCTGGTGGCTCCTCTCTGTCAAACCGGTACCCTGCCCCTGTATGCCAAGCTCTCATTAAAGTGTGTATAAAGAGAAAAAGAAAAAAGCAAGAAAGAGAAGGAAGATGGAGCCAGAGAAAGTATGTGGCGCATTCTGGAAAAGTGTGCATCTGCTTATAAGAAACGGAATAGACAGGTTCTCCCCAAGACAGTTAGAACATAGTCATCTCAAATCTGCCATAGAATACATGTGGGAAACTAAGAAGCAAATAAGAGCAAGTATGTGGCATTGCCTTTCCTTCAGGAAGTTCTAAGTACTGATTTTTACCTGAGAGGTACTGCTGAGGAGAAACGCGTCTATTCATTGGCTTATGAGGATAGACACCCAGATAAAGAGGCTTCAGTTGCTGTGACAAAATCATTTCATTCAGATTTTTCTGCAGAATAAAATATTCTTTAGATAACTTTGATATCTAAAAAGAAGATTATGTGTCAGATTAAATCAAGGAAAAGGATTCAGAGAGCTCACAGGTACTCTGGGGTCTAATAAATTCCCGATCAGAGGCCCCCGGGACTCCCATGAACTTCTTTAGGACCCACCTGACCCTGTAACAAGGGCAGACAAAGACCTCACTTAGCAACCCCCCACTCCCTGTGTTACCTATTTCACGTTTTCCATTTAAAGCTGCCAATCATGTCTTGCCACATAAAGAGTTCTATCCTGATCAACTCCTTCCTGGGGTTCCTAGGATGTGGCTTCTGTCCTTACCATTCTATCGCGATTGCCTTTCTGCTCTCAGCTGGAGGAACCCTCTGCGGAACGACGGATCTCCCTCCTTTCCTTCCAGTCTCCTCAGCCTGACTTCAGGGTCACTCTCTCCTGGCTCCTCTCCTTCCACCCTGGCCCCTCTGCCTCTGTCTCTCCTGGTAACATAGCCGTCCTGCTAGGTCGAATGTGGGGTCCTGCTTTTCTGCCTCTAGCTCTGTCCCTGGGGAGCACTGAACCCGCCCAGGGCATTATCAGCCCGCTCTCGCAGATGATTTGGTCATTCCACATCTACTCCACATCTCGGTTGCAGAGCAGGTCAGGGTTCTAACTCTGAACTTGGTTTCTAGTGTGAACAAATTTATGCACCAAGGGAAGGAAGGACTGCTTAAAAAAGAACAGGAAAGGCTAGGTAAATTAATCAATGGCACCAGCTATAAGTTGGAGATGTTTGGGCCACACCTCTAACACTCAGGGGGTGTCCAAAGGCAGTTGCTGGGCCTCTGATGGGCTCAGCCACTGTCAGACAGAAAAGCAGAATTTAGGGACTCAGGAGTGTTAGCTGATCCTTCTTTACATTAACCATTGAAATACTTCTTCCATGATTTCATACACTATTGCCTACTCTGGTAATTCATATTAATTTATAATATGCATTTTAGAAGTCATCTAGTTAAAATTCTTACTTTCCAAAAGAAAAGAAAGGGGCTGATACATACAGTGATTTCTTAAAGTGAAACACCCAGAGAGAACAGGAGCTGGAAATGGCATCTACCGGAGCCAGTCCCTGTGACCTCTCCACAGCACTCATCTGTCAGAGTTCTATGTGCACCCCTGAGAAGCCCTAATGCCAATGGCTCCCTTCTAGAAACAGTGAGGTGTGCCCACTAATGACGCCACAATCTCCAAGAGGGTGTTTTCTTTATGGTTCTTCACTGTTGTGATGTAATATATGGACTTTCCGCTTCACTGCATGTGTGCCTCAGTATGGCTACACATCGAAGTTCAATACCTGATTATGTCTTGTCAAAATCTGGGGCAAAAATGCATAGGCTTTAAAAAATTTAGAAAAAAAAGTTTTTTTAAAACAATACTGAAAGATCTCCGATACACAGAAACTTGCATTCTTAATGCCAGTATTTTAAAGCTGTAAAAACCAAAAAACAATGACTTGTCTTACTACACAAGATTCCTATCATATTGCACACTATTTATTATAGCAAATTGTTTCAAAATTTAAGGCAATTTGGATAATGTAACCCTTGAAACATTTTATTAAAAGGGTTTGCCATCTCATAAAAACAGGTAAAACAACATGTTAGTTATTAATAAACTGTGTTTAACTCAGTTGTGTAGTTCCCAGAGATGTGTACTAGTAAATAAATCTACTTATTTACATACCTGTTTTGAAAACATTGCCAAATCACATGCTCCTTTTTCTGAAATTGCATTTGAGTCTTTATCATTCCTCATCTTGATATTACAGGATTCCTCATGATTGGTAAAACAGGAATACAAATTGTGAGTATTTCTTGCTACTTCTGTTGCGGTTGGAACAAGCTTTTGACTTTTAAGAGAAGACCACCTGTCCTTCCTTAACTGCTGCCTTCTCTTATAACCCTAGTATTTGCTCTGAATGAACACTGCTGCTTTATCTTCTTCGTCCTGGGCTTGCGTCGATGGTTCAGCTGGACTCTGTGTGGCCATCCCGTGCCTCCATGGGCTGCACGTGGGTGCATGTTCTGGGTGACCACAGATATCTTCTTTTCTTTTTCCTTGCTGTCTGCATTTTGATAAACTGACCTTTGGCTAAGACTAGGTTGCAAAGTATTTTTTAAAGAAGGCTGCTTAGTTTCATTCTCAGCTAACCAAATTCCTGGGTAGGTCGGTCTTTCTGAGAAGGCCTTCCTTTCCAGATACACCGCTTTCGAATCTTCAGAATTCCTTTCCTCTGTGTGGCTCTGATAGTAATTCTGGATCACAGTGCCCTCCTTCTCCTCTTTGCTTATTTTACTGTTCTCTTCCAGGTCTTTCATATACTTCTGTTTGGGGCTTACTTCTGTCCAAGGGTCCCCCACCAGATACGATTCTTGCTTAGCCTCTTGCCCATACACATTATTCAATTTTTTCTGAGTGTGATGTCCTCTGGTGTTATTTTCAACAGCATTAGTGGCTTCCTCTTCAGCTCTAAAAGTAAAAGTCTTCACTACAGATGTGCTCCCTTTGTTATTTGGAGCTGGACTGATTCTTTTATTAGCAGAGGCGGCATTTTCTGCCTGTTTCTTCACAAAAGATTCCCTGTGTAAAACATTTTGCATCTGAATATACAATACTAAGCTAGAGCCTGTTACCTCTTTTGGCAATAGCTACATGCTCTATAATGTTGAAAGAAGAACAAAAAGGACAGAAAAAACAAACAAAACTAAACTCAACTCAAAATAAGAACTTATCACGTCACATTAATCAAGTAGTTTCCAAAATGTTCTCTCTAGTTAACAGCTGCAGTGGCCACTCAAACAATGATAAAACCAGTTTACACTTAGAGTGAGAAATACATTAGCACATTTTCACTTTATGAGGGTGGTATTAAAATTTTAGAAATTTAATTACTTAAAATATGTTCTTTTCAAACCATAGAAACTGCAGTGAGGAGATGTTGTGAAAAATATATCTAGATTTGAGACCAGTAAGCAGGGTAGGTATGTTCTCTAGGCTGATGTGCTGAATTTACTAAGATCTAAGTCTACAGATCACAAGAAATACCTTACAAAATTAAAGGAAAAGCAATGTCCTTGCAACAGTTCATAAACATAATGTGTTAGCCAAAATTTTACACTTATTATTTTACAAATATTCTTCCAAAATTATTTCTTCTTATAACTCGAAGATAAGCTTTTCTCTACAACTCTTTTGTTGTTATTGTTGTAAGGCCAAACCCTCACAAGACCAATTTGGGCATGAAAGATGTTAAACTCTGGTTGGGTGGCTCGGTTAGTTGAAGCATTGTCCCGTACACCAAAAAGTTGTAGGTTCGATCCCCAGTCAGGGTTCATATGCATATGGCAGGCAATCGATCAATATTTCCCTCTCACATGGACATTTCTCTCTCCTTTCTCTCTCTCTCTAAAACCAATAAAAACATATCCTCAGGTGAGGATTAAAGAAATAATAATAAAAGAATATGAAGGAAGGGTCAAAAAGGCATAACGTGACACCCTGACATGTTACTTGGCGGATTTTGCCAAAAATTTTTCATTTTGTCCCAGGAAAGCCATGGGAGAATGTTGGTCTTTGGAGTTATTTGTAAAGAAGGGCTTTTCTTGAGTCAAATTTGAAAAAGCTGCTGGGACTCCCTTTTCCTAATTTTCCTGGCCACCTCCAAAGCAGACTGTGGCATACTCAGGCTTATACAGGAAGCACCACAGAAACCCTGTTATTCTGTCAGGGATCAGAGGACCGGGTAGGGAACCAAAAACCCCATCATTTTGATGAGTGGCTAGGCTAATATTCCTCAGAGCATGCTTATATTAAAGCAAAATATAATTAATGAGAGAAGGTAAGCAAACTATCTTACAAAATAATAGCAATAAAAACAGTTTAATATTGGCATAAAAATAAACACATAGGTCAATGGAACATAATAGAGAGCCCAGAAATAAACTCATGTATCTATGGTCAATAAATTTATGACAAAGAAGCCAAGAATATATAATGGGGATAAAACAGTCTCAAAAAATGATGCTAGAATGGATAACCTAGGTGAAGTGGAAAAATTCCTAGAAACATACATTTTTCTAAAACTTAATCAGGAAGAATCAGAAAACCTGAATAGACTAACAACAATTAATGAAATTGAAGCAGTAATTAAAAAAGAACCAGAAAACAAAAGTCCTAGACTGGTTGGCTTCCCAGGTGTTCTAAAAGAACTAACACCTAATCTCCCTCAAATTATTCCAAAAAATTTAAGAAGAAAGAAGACTTCCAAGCTCTTTTTATGAGGTCAGCATAATCCTAATTCCAAAATCAAATAAAGACACTGCACAATAAGAAAATTATAGGCCAATATCTCTGATGAATGTATTTGCTAAAATCCTCAACAAAATATTAGCAAATCAGAGCCAGAAATACATTAAAAAGATCATACACCATGACCTAGTGGGATTTATTTTGGAGATGCAAGGCTGGTACAATATTAGCAAATCAATAAATGTGATACATCATACAAACAAAATAAAGGATCAAGATTACAAGATCATTTCAATAATGTAGAAAAAGCTTTTGACAAAATTCAGCACCCATTTATGTAAAAACGCTCAACAAATTGGAGATAGAGGGATCACATCTCAACATAATAAAGGCCATTTACGACAAACCTACAGCCAACATCATATTCAATGGGCAAAATCTAAAAGTGTTTTCCTTAAGATCAGGAACAAGACAGGATTATCCACTTTCACGACTTTAATTCAACATAATACTAGAAGTCCTAGCCACAGTGATCAGACAGGAAGAAAAAATAAAAGGCATCCAAATTGGAAAGGAGGAAGTAAAACTGTCATTATCTGTAGATGACATGATATTATACATTGAAAACCCTGAAGACTCCATAAAAAAAACTACAAGATCTAATAAAGAAATTTGGCAAAGCAGCAGTATAGAAAATTAACATCCAGAAATCAATGGCATATTTATACATCAATAATAAAAGAGAGAATAAACATAATCCCATTTATCATTGCAACAATGACAAAAAAGATACATAGGAATAAACTTAACCAAGGAGGTAAGAGACTTGTACTTTTAAAACCATAGGACACTGAGAAGAGAAATAGAGGAAGGTACAAACAAGTGGACGCCTATATTGTGTTCATGGATTAGAAGAATTAACATCACTAAAATGTTCATAGTACCCAAAGCAATCTATAGATTAGACAAAATCTCTATTAAAATATCAATGGCATGTTTCACAAACTAGAATATACCAAAAATTTATACGGAACCATAAAAGACCCCAAATAGCCTAATCAATCTTGAGAAAGAACAAAGCTGGAAGGATCACAATACTGAATATCAATCTATACTACAAAGCTATTATATTCAAAACAGCCTGGTACTGGTACAAGAACAGGCATCTAAGTTAATGGAACAGGACAGAGACCACAGAAACTGACCCATACCATTATCGTCAATTAATATTTGACCAAGGAGGCAGGCAAGAGCATACAATGGAGTAAAGACAGTCTCTTTGATAATTTTTCCAATTTTGGAAAACTGGACAGGTACATGCAAAATATAAAACTAGACCACCACCTTACACCATACACAAGAATAAACTCAAAATGGATAGAAGACTTAAATGTAAGTCACGAAACCATAAAAGTCCTAGAAGAAAACATAGGCAGGATAACATCAGACTTCTCACTTAACAGTAATTTTGCTGATATATATCCTAAGGCAAGAGAAACAAAGAAAAACATAATCAAATGGGACTATGTAAAACTAAAAAGCTTCTTGCACAGCAAAAGAATCCTTCAACAAAATAAACATGGAACCCATTGTATGGAAGAACATATTCGCTTATGATATATCTGATAAGTGGTTAATTTCCCTTATATATATAAAGAACTTATACAACTCAACACAGGAAGACAGAAAATCCAATTAAGAAAATGGGCAAAGGACCTGAATGAACACTTCTCCAAAGAGTACATACAAATGGCCAATAGACATACAAATAAATGCTCAACATCACTTTGAGATTATATTAAAATCATAATGAGGTATTACATCACACCTGTCAGAATGGCTACCATCAATAAATCAACAAACAACAAGTGCTGGCGAGGATGTGGAGAAAATGGTGGGCTAGTACATTGCTGTTGGGAATGCAGACTGGTGCAGAAAAATAGTGTGGAGTTTCTTGAAAAATTTAAAAATGGAACTGCCATTTGACCCAGTGATCCCACTTCTGGAAATATAGTCTAAGAATCCTGGAACACCAATCAGAAAAGAATGTATGCACCCCTATGTTCATAGCAGCATTATTTACAATAGCTAAGATCTAGAAACTGTCGAAATGCCCATCAGTAGATGAGTGGATAAAAAAGCAGTGGTACATTTACACAATGTAATACTACATGGCTGGAAAAGAGAAGGCTCTTTTACCTTTTCAACAATGTGAATGAACCTGGAGATTATTATGGTAAGTAAAATCAGTCAGTGAGAGAAAGAAAATAATACATAATTCCACTTATATGTAGAATACAATATACAAAAGTGTCCACCAAAGGATGACTGGCACATGTATACAATGGAGTATTATAAAGCCAAAAGAAAGAAGGAAATCCTGCCATTTTTGACAACATGGATGGAATTTGAGGAAATTATGCTAAGTGAAATAAACCAAACAAAGACATATATTGCATGAGATCACTTATATGTAAATCTAAAAAAAAGAAAAAGTCAATCTCATAGACACAGAGTAGAAAATTGGTTGCCAGGAACAGAAGATGGGGAATAGGGAGAGGTTGAAAAAGAACACAGACTTTCAGCTATAAAATGTATAAGGTTCCGGGATCTCATGTAAAGCATGCTGACTATAACTGATTATGCTATAGTTTATAATTATATTTTTCTAAGAGAGTAGAACTTAAGTGTTCTCAATGAATAAAGAAAAAACAAAGAAAGAAAATGATGTGAGGTGATGAAATGTGTTATATAACCAGATGAGGGATCCTTCCACATGTATACATATATAAAATTATCAGTGTACACTTGAAATATCTTGCAATTTTATGTCAATTATTCCTCAATAAAGCTGAAATTTTAAAAAATGGAACGTGTTGAAGATCTAATATATAGCATGATGATCATTAATGATGTATTATATACTTGAAAGTTGCTAGAGAGTAGCTCTTAAATGTTCTCACCACACACAAAATTATAATTATTGAGATGATAAAAATGTTAACTAACCCTACTGTAATCATTTCACAAAATATATGTATCAAATCATTATGTTGTATACCTTAAGCTTACACAATGTTATATGTCAGTTAAATCTCAATACATTTGAAAAAGAAAATAAGAGAAGAAGACAAGAGGCCTGGGGTTGAAGCTGGAATTATCTTTACCTTCCTGAAGAATCACTTAGTCATCTTTCAATCAATTCGAGTTTTACCAGTTAGGCAAAATCTACATATGTTTTCTTTCCCTTAATCCTTACAAACCAATGCAGAGTTTCCTCTTCTATGCCCTCTCTGCACCCACTGCATAATTTAATAGCAAAGTTAAGTCCTGGCTAGGTAGCTAAGTTGGTAAGAGCATCACCTAGATATGCCAAGGTTGTGGGTTCAATCTCCAGTCAGGACACATACAACAATCAATCAATGAATTCATAAATAAGTGAAACAACAAATCTATGTTTTGTTCTCTCTCTCTCTCTCTAAAATCAATTTAAAAAAATAGCAAAGTTAACTCACATTACTAGAATCATGTATTTATTGGTTATATTTCTTTTTCAACACTCTGAGCAACTTGAGAATAAAAAATTTTGTCTCATTTATCTATGTGTCCCCACTGCTTAGCATAAAGCCGACTGTATAAATAAATTCAGATCAGTCTGCGAATATGCACTTAGAAATACAAATATGGAGGTTCAGGAGGAAAAAGGGCAAAGGAGTTATACTTTATAGATTAGATTATGACTTAGGAGTCAATGGCCTGTTGGCTATTAAGGCCATGGGAATGAATGAGAGAGCCCAGGGACAATGTGGAGGAGGATTTAAATACGGGGAGAGAAGAAGGAATTAGCAAATAACACTCAGAATTAGGAGCAGAAACAGAGAGCAGTGTGGCAGAAGCCTAGGAAGAAAAAAAACTTGAGAAGTGTGATCATCACTGTGAAATGTCAATGAACTCCTGGAAGATAAAATAGTGGAAAGTGGTCACGAGTGTTCGCTGACATTTAATACATCTGTCTCAGGAGCATGGTTGGGTACAAGAAAGACTGTGAACTTTACCTGGTAACTTTACAGATTTGAAATCTCTAGAATGTCAAAATACTGTGTAAATTAAATTATTATACCTTTTCTTTTCAAAATTTTTCTTGTAGTCAAATTCCTGAGCATGAGTCTGAATGGTTGTTACTGCTGTGTTTTTGGTGTTAAAGATTTCTTTTCTTTGTTTTCTGACTAGAAGGCCTCTTGCAGCTGAAACAGATAAGGCCCAGAGTAGTGTTAATCCTAATAAACAAACAAACAAACAAAAAACATTATTTAAATAAGTAGAAACAAATGTTTTTTTGGCCATCAATGTCAACAAGGAAAATGAAATTAAAGACTCCAAATAGAACAAGTTTATAAAAAATATGAGATTCATTAACATCTTCTAGATGACAAGATATTGAAAGAAAATAATTAAAGTACCTTTTTTATTAAGAAGAATACTAAGATGAAACTAAATTTATAGAAATGAGTGAAATTAATAAGACAAAATGTACTCATTTGCTTACTTTGCTAATAATTATTTTCCTTTTGTTTATGCCATAAAAGAAAGCCTCTACTATTTAAATATATGTTTTAGATCTTTTGGCCAATTATCCCTAGAGCCAGATATGTCAGAAATCAGATTTAAATGTGTTTTGTTTTGTGTTTAAAAAGGTAAGGCAGAGCAAATAACATATACTTTGTAACACCGCCACCCACCCAATGTTAGCGCAGCATCCCATAGTCCAAACTAAGGTTTCTCCTGAATAACACAATCTTTTTTAAGTGGGATGAATAAACGACTGTAAAAATTAGGTCATATTTCACTTTCAAATTAATTATGAAAAACTCTCTTTTTTTCATTATTTTGCACATTTTGGAATTGTGGATAAAGAATCATATTCCAAAGTGCTGGGTTTGCATTTTGATGTTCCAGTGAGAAATTAAGGACTTAAAATTCCCAAAGAGATAATAATGGGCTCTTGTGGGTTGACCGGACTGGGACTAGAGCATGGCTCTCCTGAATGTGAGCTCCCTCTTCTGCCCATCACCTCACTGTTCTTCAGAACAAGGCAACAAATCAGTAGTGGATCTTAAAATTGATACAGTGGGCTAAATCTAAAAATGAAATAAAATAAACTAGAACAGAAAATGTTAGAGTGCACTGCTTATAGTATGTATATGTATCAGGTTACAGAGTAAAATATATTTTTTACTAAGGATGTCCCGTTAAAACATTTGGAAAGATATTGTAGTAAGCCATAATAGATTCTAAATTTAGTTTCTTACAGAAGAATGGAAGGAAAAATCCACAGTCTATAAATACATTTTAATAAAAATTTTTGAAATATGGTTCTAAATATTATCTTTCTACAGTTAATAGAAAATAAATACTATTTAAAATGAAATGTAATTAGCCCTGGCCGGTTTGGCTCAGCAGTTAGAGCATTTGGCCTGCGGTCCAGAGAGACCCGGGTTCGGTTCCCGCTAAGGGCACGTACCTCGGTTGCAGTTTGTCCCCGGCCCTAGTTGGGTCATACAGGTGGCAACCACTCGATGTGTTCCTTTTACGTCTATGTTTCTCTCTCTCTCTCTCTCTCCTCCCTCTTTCCCTCCCTCCCTCCCACTCTATCTGAACAACAACAAAAAAATGTTCTCGGTGAGGATAAAAAAAAAGAAATGTAATTAAGTTGTCAAAAATTATGGCAAGTGAAACTTTTAGAATAAAGTAGGACAAACTTTATTGTCCAATGGGTTATAATAATACAATACTTGAGATCTACAATTAATTCAATCAGTTGTCATGTCTTGCACAATAGGTCAACTGTAGTTTATCAGCACGACAGAAAATGTAATAATTATTTTATTTCAAACAAAACATTTATTCAAATATTAAAAGTGTCAACCACTAAAACAATCTGATTTAGATTCAGGATAGAGAAAGTATCAAGGTAAGCGAGTCTGGAATTAAACATGGAAGCTACATAGGAATTGGAGGTTTGTATATAAGATTTTATTGTATTTCCATATCTAAACATAACGTCTTTCGTCACACTGTGCAACGGTCTGAGTGATTACCTGACTGTATTATTACAGTGCTCTCTTTCCTTTTCTCTTGTAGTTTTTGGTGCCTTCTTGAACTCAGGAATCCTCTGACACAGGCTTGAATCAAAATAAGCTTGTCAATGGCTTCCTTTCGCATTAAATTGAACTGTTCCGCATGATAATATTTAAGAAACACCTTAAAAGAAATTAAAATAAAATACAAATAAGACTAAGGCACACAGATGTGAAATAGTCATGTGCTATGCTTTGAAGGGTGGATTAAATTTTAAATCATTTTAGATTTTGGAGAGCACATCTTTGGCCTGAAATATAGATTTATATGCTACAAGAAAATCTCTCTTTCAGAAGAAATACAGATTGAAAATCACACTGTTTATTTGCAACAATTAACTAGGTCTTGTTGGGTGGGCCAATAAGAGTGGAGGATGTTGAGCTCTTGTATCAGAGTTTTAGCATTACATACTGTGAGCAAAAATAAATTGTATGCTTTTATTTTTTTAAGAAAAAGATAATTATATTTCCCAAATGTAAATATCTTACAAATGTATTCGTAAGACACAGCAATTATAGCTATAGCAGTTCATCTTTCAAATGTTTATTGAGACCTATTATTTGTACTTGCTGGGGATACCAAGGTGAAGAAGGAGGCACACTGTCCTTCAGGGTCTCTGGGAGGTGCAGGGGGAACAAAATGATCAGCTTCCTCACTAGACCCAGTGGCAACCATGGAGATAGGAGGACTGACTTTTGGTCATTTCAAAATCAAAATGATCCAGGTGAGCATTAGTGGATTGAGCATTGTCCCATGGACTGAGGGGTTCTGGTTCAATTCCCGGTCAGGACACATGCCTGGGTTGCAGCCTCAATCCCCAGTAGGGGGTGTGCAGGGGGCAGCAGATCAACGTTTTTCTCTCACACTGATGTTTCTTTCTCTCTCCCTTTTTCTCTCTAAAATATTAATAAAAACATTTAAAAATAAAGTAAAAATGAATTCCAACAACAGAGGAGCCTAAAGGCCTGGAGATGTTCTCACCTAAAAGTTTTCAACTCCCCCCAGAAAATAAGAAGCCTTTTTTCCCCAGCTCTTTTAATGACTCTATTTACTAATGCTATTCACCTCAAAGAGAGTTCATTGAATCCACTAAAAAAGTCGCTAAAATTCAAATTTAACCGCTGGGTCACGACACCCGGTCACCTGACTCTAAAATTCTCTCAGCATTCCATTACTGGAAAGCTTGGCACCACAGGCTAACGGTCTAGCTTTACACGTTTTGATTGAAGTTAGTTTTAATTTCTACAGAACTCTAGATGTTAATATATTTAGTCCATTCCACTGTTGACAATTCATTTAAAATTCAATCTGTCTAAAAAGGTCATCATTTTTTTAAGCAGCATTAGAAGTTTTTTTATGTGGAATACGTTTATCAATCTTAATGTGTTGGAAAAGGTAAAGTAGAAAAATACAAATAACTTTAAAATGCTACTCAAATATCATGCAGAGCTGGAACTGCAAAGGACCTTTTTACAAGTTAAAACTCCATTTGGAGTTAGGCATGGGTTTCAGACCATGAATCATGAGATTTCAGCCTGAAAGAACTCATCTTTGTGAGTATCTGAAAGAAAAAGGTGTGAGTAAAATATATTTTTTTAATGCTCAGAATTATCCCTTACTAAATATTAAAGTAAATACAAATTACTCTATATGCAGGACTCAGTCTAAGATAAACATTGAAACAAATTCCTTAAATTGTTACAGGACCAACTTCTCATCTGAGCATTATAAAAATTCTCTCCCACCTCGCACCCCCAAGACACAACTTAATACAAATTTCTTTGCAACTGGAGAAGTTTGTTTCAGTCTGTCTCTGCGGCGTGGCTGACAGAGGTTATGCTTGAGTGGTCAATCTATGACCACTTTTATTGAGCTTGACTCTTTTCTCTACCCTCCCCCAGTGGTACATTTAGTGTGCCTCTAAGACCTAGTACCCTGCTTATCTTCTTATATCCATCTTGTAATGCTCTGAAGGTATCTGCGAAACCCAGATCATTCTTTATCCAAGCAGCCAACCATTCTTACTTCCATATTTAAAATAGGTTATGATTTTTTAAAATTTATTTCCTATGGGGTTAAATAAGCTAAGATTGCACAGGCTCTCAAATCTAATACATAGCATACCAATATCCAAACACATATAGCAAGTCTAGTAATATTGGTGAATATTTCACTCTGGATATATTTCAAGTTTATAATAAAAGAGTTGAGAATTAGAAAAAACAAACAAACAGAATCCTATTTAGATCACTGTGATTCTCGACAGCTTTCTGACTAAATTAGATGGTGATAAAATTGAAAATATATCAGACTGTTTTCAACACTATTTGAAGTGAAATCTCATTAAAATTCCATCCTCTTTTTGGATAAGTCTTCAAGATCAATTTTTCTTAAATTTCTTAAAAGAAAACTTTATGAGAGCAAAGTGTTTAATTTGCTGAATTAACCTTTACAAATTTACCAATTTACTTCCTCTCTGTTGAAGCTAAGATTCTGCAACATAAAAAGCTTAACATTTTCAAGCAATGTAAAATGTTATGATTTTCAGTAAATCCAACCTAACGATTAACTTTTGTCTTGAAAATTACATGGAAATCTTACTTTTGTTTTCCCAAGAGCCCAGTTATCAAGACCAGCTTTTTCCAAAATGGCAGCACAGCTGTCAGGGCTCACGGCCGGCTCCTCGCTCCACTTGTAGCAGAGGACGTGCTTCCGACGGGAGAAAGGCTGGTTAGTGTTTCACAAAGGCCCAGAGGCTCAGGCCTGGTGGGCGTCAGACCGCTCTGTGCAGGGGAGGGAAGAGAGTTCCCGGATCTACTGCAGGGATCCTTTTGGATTCTCAGAGCAGCTCTGGAGTAGCTTGAATTCCACACGGACACAGATCTGGTCCCATCTATTTGTATACATTTGAACATTGTTTTTTTTTTTTCCAGCTTAGTGATTGCTTTTCAACATTTAACACTGAAATACCCAAACAAAATCTCCACTCAAACAAAATAAATAAACAAAATAGAAACAAAGAACAGACTGACAGCTGTCAGAGGAGGCAAGTGGGGCAGGGGGACTGGGTGAAAAAAGTAAACTGATCAAGAAAAAAACAAAACTCACAGACACAGACAACAGTATGGTGCTTTCAGGAGGGAAAGGGGGATAGTGGCAGGGAGAAGAGGGTAAAGGGGGATAAAGGGTGTCAGAGGAAACTTGACTTTCGGTGGTGAACACACAATACAATATACAGATGATGTATTATAGAACTGCGCACTTGCAACCTCTATAATTTTATTAACCAATGTCACCCCAATAAATTAAATGAAAATGAAAAAAAATTAGCAGGGTATAAAAAAGTAACCTCTGTATGGGCATTAAAAGTAGAAAGAATGCAGTGGCAGGAAGCAAGGGAAGGATTTTATTTTTTTTTTTTTCACCTTCACAAAAACATTGGAAGCTGATCTTAAAATTGATGAAGGGGTTTAATTCCATGCAAACTGCCCAGCGCTGTACACACGCCTCCTTTCGCTGGTCAATCCCACAACCCAGGCTGTGCCTGATCGATTCCCAGATGACACTCAAGTAATTGAGCCACAGTCAATCACTTTGAGGTTTCTCTTTCTGTTTCTCTCTCTTGAAAAAAAAAATTAATAAAAACATATCTTCAGGTGAAAATTTAAAGAGTAGACTTTTAAAATATTAAATATATAAGATACCAAATCTCTATATTACCAGTAATATTTCATTTATAGTTTAGTTCATTTTACACTAACCTCCAATATCAGAAAGGACTCCTTAAACCCTTTATGTATCTTAAGTCATTGTTAGAGATACTATCTCATTTGATTCTTGTAACAATTCTATCAGGTCATGGCAGATTTATTGGATGAGGAAAATGAGGTTCCATATAGTCCAGGGTTTCTCAACCACTGCTTACATTATAGGCTGGACAATCATTTGTGGCTGGGAGTTGTTCTGTACATTTTCAGATGTCTATGCATCCCCCCATCCCCCCAGTTTTGACAATCCAAAATGTCTCCAGAAATTAACAAATATCCTTTGAGGGCAAAATGTCTCCTCACTGAGAATCACTAGTGCAGGCCATGGTCAACAGCAGTGGCAGAGCTGGGACAAGAACCCGACAGAAGCCCAGGCCTCTCAGTCCTGCTGCCTGGGACACATACCCTGTGCTGCCACGTAGGACCTCCCAGCTGACAAGAGAAACTTCCAGCTCCAGCTCACAGTTACCTTCTTTCTGATACATAGTCTTACATGAACAAAAGCTTCCTTCCTAGAACACCTAAGTCATTGTTTCTTATAATGCTTCCAAAGAATTTTGATGTAAACTGCACACGGAAACTTAAAAAGAAATCCACATACCGCTTTATAAAGTTAGCAAAAAGTATCCGATGTGAGTATCCCAGCCTTCGATTTCTTGCTGTTTCCAGAATTCCAGTGTAGCGAAGCTGTAGCAGAACTTTCTCTTTATCGTATTTTCTTGCCTGACGTTCATTATTTGGTTTGATGCAACGAACAAAATGAGGTTGGCCCACCACCATTTTAGATAACAAATCCATCAGGGAATACTATAATATGCAACAAAAATAAATTTCCAAGCGTAGCAGGCAAAAGCTTATGAGTTTGTAGGTCTTAAGAAAAAACAAACACACACCTAACAACTGACTGTTACACACACTTGTACTAATTCACAGTAAATGGAGGAAAATTTGTATTAAGGACAATTTTATATGTAGCATTTTAAAAAAGACAGATTTACTCATGGAAACCTAGTTATTAAAAGGTTGCCTGACATAGTCTGTAAGTATTTATGTCCTCTCAGGGAAACATGCCAAATTATAATATTTAGGAACACAATCTAGTTTCCTGTTTATACTACTTATTTCCTTATCTACCTCTATCTTTAAAGAAAGAATAAAAGTAAACACTTTGATTCCTGTCAGAATCATCTCCTAGTTTAAAATAAGGACTGAGAAGTTAATGCAGTTTAATATAAAGGACACAATTATAAAAATAAACAAATTCATTTCAGCACTCTAATCGGCTCCAATTTGGTAATTTTTATTTTATTTTATGTATTTATTTATTTATTTATTTATTTGTTGTGGTACATGACCCTAGCAGGAACCAAACCCTGGACTCTCTGGTCTGCAGGCCGAAGCTTAACCACTGAGCCAAACTAGCCAGGGCCAGTTTGGTAATTTTTTAATTTGTTTTAGAATTTTTAAAATCACACAGATGGGAAAACTCTGTTATGCAGCAATACCTTATTAAAACAGCAGACACTTTGCTAACTATAATTAACTAGAAGCCAATTAACTAAGCATATAACATATGAGGATAATCATGGTTCAATGAAAAGTGGAATCCCAGAAAATCAGTATGTTAGAGACCAGTAATATAATTTGTTGGCCCGGTAATGAATACGTGGACATGGATAGCTGTTGACAACTGAATCTCTTTTAGTGCTGGGAATATCAAAGCCTACAGTTGCAAAGCCAGAGCAGACCAAATGCTGGAACTGAGAAACTGACACAGCCCTGGATTTGCATGGCTTCCTCTTGGGCCCTGAGATCAGATGTGATCTTCAAATGGCTGGGTCTGTTATTTTGGAACCCTTTTTCATTACATTTATCAGTGAGTCATCATTGCTTTAGTCATGCAAACATCTGCCAGGCAGCTGAGATACAGAGGTGATACACTTGTCTGCTGGCAAGCCGAGCAGGAGCGTACTGCCATGTAGGCATCGGTTCTCCTGAGGGACCAAGGCAGAATGCTCCACTCTGCTCATTCTCTGCAGAATGAAAAATAACTTCAAAACACATCACAGACCACGTGAAATGATCTTCTTTCCCTTTTCACTTCAGCCTGAAGAGTCAAATGAGCTCATGATTAAATGATTTAGGCATACACACAGTGTTTGATGTTAATGATGGTGGGTAGATAATAATTTGGATAGTTCACTTATAAAAAGAAAATACTCTGGCTGTAAATACCCTAGGTGACTCAGCTGTGCTGCAGTCTTGATGTAAGGTGAATGTGTCAGCAGCAAACACGAGATATTAAGCATTTAAATGTGCTAGGAGCTACTCAAAGATAATTAAGCACATACAGTCTGCTTTGAGCTTAGGACTTGAAAAATATTTAATAAAACTATCCAAGTATTTTAAAATTATTATTATTTTTTTTTATCCTCACCCAAGGAAATTTTTCCAGTTTTTTTATTCAGATAGAGCAAGAGGGAGAGGACGAGAGAGAGAGAAACATCGATGTGAAAGGGACACATCAAGTGGCCACCACCCGCATGACCCAACCAGGGCTGGGGACAAACTGCAGCCAAGGTACACGCCCTTAGCGGGAACTGAACCCAGGTCTCTGTGCACCGCAGGCTGATGCTCTAACTGCTGAGTCAAACCGGCCAGGGCTATCCAGGTATTTTACAAAGTATTTCATGATTCTATTAGGGAACTGGGTTTATTTACTGAGCACTTATAGTAAATTTAACCCAATTTCCTCCCCCACATTACATTATACTATTAAGAATTTCCAAGTTTTAGGTGGTATTTTCTTCATTTTCACTGGCTGGTTAACATGATTTTATCAGAAGAGATAAACAAGAACTGGAAGCAATAATGAGAGCAGGGTTATCTAGAGCTCTCCAGAGCTTCTTTTCAGCCCTTTCTCCCACACTGTCCAAAAAGAGAAGGGTACCTTGAGCCTATGTCAAGGCTGCCGTTTCTGTGGCATGTTCCTTTCCCCCCATGTCCCTTCTCTTTGCCCCGAGCCTACACTAGTTCTGTTTTTCTTTTGAAGTTTTTAGCTTATCTGTGTACAGTAAGATATGGAATGGAAGTGGATGCTCAACCTTGTTCCATCTGTCTACCCTAAACTTATTCAGGAGAGGGGAGGAGCATTGATTGTTATCATAGCATCGAATTAAAAACTCTTTTAAGTTTTATACTGGTGCAAATGCACCTGGTTCTATGGACACATTTTTTTTTTTTCCTTCACTGACTATAGAGGAAGGGAGAGGGAGAGAGAGAGAGAGAGAAACATCAATGAGAGAGAACATCAGTTGGCCGCCTCCTGCATGCTCTCCACTGGGGATTTGGCCCACAACCTGGACATGTGCCCTGACCAGGAATCAAACTGGTGACCTCCTGGTGCATGGCTTGATGCAATGGACAAGTTTTAACCCAAGTATAGACCTCCACTAAGATGGACCTAGGATACAATAATTTTATAGATTGTTGAAAGCATACTCTAACACAGCCTGTATCTAACAAATAGGAATTAAAATACAGTAAAAATTATTTTTTGGCTAATAGCACGCTATGGTACTAGCTTTTGAGCTGTCACTCTCATTTAGAATAAATAACAACCCTAAGCACAACACATCATAATTTAATATCTTACTCTAAAATATGATGCAACTGTTTGTGTTTTCATGTTGGTCGTCTCTCTGGCATGACGGGTGGTTTCACCAGTTTCACCCTAAAAAGACCAAAGGAGACAGTGATGCATTGGTACTTGTGCTGTGTGATCCACAGGGAGCATGTGGATTTTCCTTCAGGCTATCATAGTCTCTGCATCCAAATACATACAACAACAAAATGCTATTGATACTTTTACTTTAAGGTTACTGTTGAAGGTGATTGTTCAAAGTCTCATTGAAATTTGAGTTGGTCATGCACAGAATGTGAACATCTCTGCCCTCAGTGATACATTTTTAGTTGGTCTTAGTGGAACATTAAAACTAACTATAAATAAAGAGTTAAGAATATATCAGAAATGTATGATTATTTTAATGTATAGCAGTGATATGAACATAACATAAATATCTGTTTAAGCAGAAAACAAGATTAAAGGGAGAAAATGAAGAAAAAGACTACTTTTAGGAGCACACAAATATTGCCAAGGTAAAGGTACACTCTTGGATTCGCTGCCATGAAAAAAGCATTTTCTTACCTTTGTTAGGTTGATTGATTTTTCTGAAGTCCTCATTTGATAGTTTATTATATTTTTAGTTTTAGAATGTGGCAGATTACCTATGGGAATTTAGATAAAATTAGTATACCTTTAGAATCCTTAATGGCTAGAAGATTTTCCTCATTTAATTGAACATTAAAATAAATATTGTCGATTTCACAATATTTAGACTTACATGCTTGATTAACTATTTGTTAAGGAATTTAGAGATAAAATAATATTATGTGAAAATTTATACCAAAACTTTAATTCAGAAAAAAACAACAACTACTTAGAGAATCGAAGAGGTAAGTGTTGGATTTCCTTTTAATTGCTTCAGAATATGGGATGATTATGATAAAGGAGATGATTTGCTTCTTTTTTTTGTGTGTTAAATGGCAGCTGAGATTTTCTTTAACACAAAGAGAAGCTTTACAACGGGCCTTAAGAATCATGTGGATCATTAATTCATATGAAGTGGTTATGAGTGAATCAAGTGTGGCTGACAGGGCTGGATAATTTCCACCTGCCATTCAGAAATGTGTGCCTGGTATGAGGTATTCATGTTCACAACCCAAGGTTGTGAAAAAATGATGCTGTAGTGAAAAAAATGATGACCTTGGAAGCCAGGGAGACCTGAGCTTGAATACCAGCTGTGGTACTTAAATTGTGTTACCTGTGGGTCATTCACTTAAGTCTCTGAATTGTAGTTTGGGTCCATAAAATAAGGATAATGATGCCTACCTCACCAAATATTGATGAAATGTGATAGTATGTCTGTCACATGGTAGGCACCTGAAAAAGTTAGTCCACTCCTCTCCCATCCTCCATCAAGCACAGTAAACCAACCACCCGTAATCCAAGAGTTTATCATCCTAATAGCAATGTTCAAAATATCTCCAGAATTGAGTATCACTTTGGAAAGATAATTTCTCATCGCTCATTCTCTTAGGTGCCAAGCAGAAGCTGCATGTTTTGGGAAAGTCCTTCCCATTCTTTGTGGTTGAAAAGGGGGCTCTGAGATGGTGGTGCAGGGGGAAACGCTGCCTGGTGTGGCTGGCAGTGGGGGCCTCTGCTCCCTGCACCCCCTTCCCGCTTCATTCCAGGAAAAGTGCGCAGCTGGGTGTGTGCACCTGCTTTCGCGCTGGGCTGACACTGCACACGGCACCCTCACCCTTCAAATGGGAAACTTGCTGAACACAGCATGGGGGACAGATACAGTAGCAGGTGGTCTCCAGACAAGCACATCAGGAATTTCAATTATTATCAATATTATTATTATTAGGATTACCAGGGAGTTTTAGAAAAAAATTACCACAGACCAGGAAATTTCTTGGAAACATGATGAATATACAAAGTGTTAGTAGCACATTAATTAGAATAGAACCTTCTACTTAATAGACACTATAACTTAGTGTTACACAAATAAAAAGAAAAATTTCAAGTTTATCTGAAAACTAAAAAACTAGAGAAAATTTAGTAAAGGATTAATAATTTGACTTTAACAAAATTTATATACTAATCATCAAATCATTTAACAAAATATATATTATTTTATTTATTTATTTATTTATCCTCACCCAAGGACATTTTTTCCATATTTTGTTCAGATAGAGTGGGAGGAAGAGAGAAAGAGAGAGAAACATCGACGTGAAAGGGACACATTCAGTGGCTGCCACCTGCACAACCCAACCAGGGCCGGGAACAAACTGCAACCGAGGTACATGCCCTTAGCGGGAACTGAACCCACGTCTCTCTGTACTGCAGGCCGATGCTCTAACTGCTGAGCCAAGCCAACCAGGGCTCATTTAACAAAATATAAACGAAAGCCGTTTAAAAATCAGCTATGCAACTAAAAATCATGCATCTAGGAACTAAAATGAGCATAAGTCTTAAATTTAGAAAATATATCCAGTTTGCTTTTATAGTTGAAGTGATGAACAAACCTATGATAAACCAAACTAGAACTGTGAGCTGCAAGACACATTTCGCCCGATAATGGCCGAATTTTTTTATATTTGAAGTCATTTATGCAAAGGGCCATGGTTATTTTAGAATCTTGGAGACAACATAAAAATAGGATCGAAGAACCTAAATCGCAATCCTATGTCTATGGGGTAACATTGGAAAAGCTGCTCAACATTTCCAAGCCTCAATATCTCATCTGTAAAAGCAGTTCCTTCTCAGTATGTTGTTATTAGGAGTAAATGAAAGGACTTGGCACTGTGCCTACCACCGTGCAATTTTAAAACAGGTTTATCTATTATTGTTGTTGCTATTATTACATGTTTGTGCATCGAAGTGAATATAAAGCCCATATGCTTTTGATAGTTTTGAGGTTCTGAGTTCCTGAAACACTTTTTGACTATGAAGTTCTTCTCTTTAACTAGAGATCTGTTTCACTGACAGTCAGGAGGCATTACTGTAGTTTTGAGAACCTGGTTGCATATTTTATAAGGACAAAAAACATTAAGTTAGATGCATAGATACTATAGGTAGATGCAGAAGGAGATAACAATTGTTAAAATAAAAACAACACATTTGCTTTTGGACAAGATAAAGTAACAAACTGAATGAACTGAAACAACTAAAATAACATAGAAAATATATAGAACAGTTTTTTTTTTTCTATTACACATAACACAAAATCCAGTATCTTAACCGTTTTAAAATGTATAGTTCAGTGGTATTAAATACATTCCATCACTGCCATCCATCTCTACGGCTCTTTTCATGTTCTAAAACTGAAACTCTGTCTATTAAATACTAACTTCCCATTCTCTCATTCCCCAACTCCTGACAACCATAATTCTGCTTTCTTTGTCTATGAGTTTGACTATCTCCTATAAGTGAAATAACACAGCATTTGTCTAGGAGAAACAGTTTTTATAAATCGCAAATAAAGCAGTACAGGACAGTGATTCCTGAGAGAGGAAAAATAAATAAAATGAAATGAGCCCTATGATTCCCTTCAGCTTTCTCTGTCTGAAGAGGTTTTAAGCTGAAATGCAGGGAGGGGAACTCAGGTAAAGCCTGGGGACTAGATAGAACATATGTAACAAATAGAAAACAACAAGATGATAGAGTCAATCCAAACAGATCATTAAGCACATTAAATGTAAATGGTTTTATCACCACAATTAAAAGGCAGAGATTTTCAGATTGGATTTAAAAAAGCAAGACCCAACTATCTGGTGTGTACAAAAAACTGACTTTAAATATAAACACAAAAATAAATTGAAATTGAAAGTGTAAAAAATTCCATTCAACTACTAATCATCAAAAAGCTAGAGTCTCCATATCACTAGCAGGCAAAGTAGCCTTCAGAACAAAGACTATTACCAGGGATTAAGAACAGTCACTTAATAATAATAAAGGGGTCTATTCATCAAGAAAATAAAACAATTCTAAACTGTTATGTACCTAACTAATAGACCTTAAAAATAGATGAAGTAGCTCTGGTCAATGTGGCTCAGTTGGTTGGGGGCATCATCCATACACCAAAAGGTCTCCAGTGCAATTCCCTGGTCAGGGCACACACACAAGTTTCAGGTTCCATCCTTAGGATGCATACAGGAGGCAACCAATCCATGTTTCTCTCTCACATCAATGTTTCTCTCTCTCTCCTTTCTTCTCTTGCTAAAATCAATAAAAACATATTCTTGGGTAAGGATTAAATATACATAAAGCAAAAAAACAGATTAAGAAGTGCTTGGGCTGCCATTCTTCCAGGGAATCTGTCTGCTAGAAAGTGGTTCTGTGGAGAACATGCTGCAAGTTGATTACAAGTTATGGTTTTGAGTTCTTTTAAAAACAATAATGTCAGACTTGAAAAAATGGCGGTGGAGTGAATGAAAGCTACACAGACCATCTCCCAGGACCAACCTGAAATTACAACTAAAATAAAGAGAAATCATTGGTAAAAACCAACAGAAAAGCAGCTGGAGAGAACCCATATAACTGGGGATGCAAAAAGGACACCAAACTGAGCCTGCTAGGAACTGCGGAGGTGCGAGAGGGTGGGCTGGGAGCCCATGGGCAGTAGCTGATGGCTGTTTTGGCCGTGAGTAGATCCATCGGGATTAAAGCCCCAAGCCAGTTACACAGCACAGAGTGCTGAGACAGGAAAGGGTGCTGGCATTAACACCTGGCTGAAATCACCAGAGTAGAGAACTAAATTAGCTACAGTCACTCACCTTGGGCTCTGGCAGAAGGAAAGCAGACTGGACTGGAACTATGTGGAGAGACTTGGGGAGCTGGGAGGGAGGACACTGGGAGTTTTACGCTACCTATGAGTTGATAGCCATCTTACTGAAAGAGCCCATTCCCAGAACCTTGGGCAGCAGCAACAGCCCCTCCCTCAGGAATTTAACATGACCCAGCCAGGCCAGAGAAATGCAAATTAAGGCTTATTAATAGCCAGAGACAGCTAGCAAGCAACTGTCCCACCCACTGGAAATCTTGTTACCCTGAACACCTGAGGGATTTTTTCATCCAGCTAAAGGCTACAACCCAAGTCTCACTAAGTAACTGAGACTAATAGTCTGCAGGCAAAATCTAGACTACAACTGAACCTTTGATTGGCCTGAAAATCTACCCAGGAAAGTGAGACACGACAGTGGCATTTATAATTTTTTAAAAATTTATTTATTTTTAATCCTCACCCAAGGACACTTTTGCATTTATCTTCAGACAGAGCAGGAGGGAGAGAGGGGGGAAGAGAGAGAGAGAGTAACATCGATGTGAGAGAGACACATCGAGTGATTGCCACACACATAACCCCAACCAGGCTGGGGACAAAGTGCAACCGAGGTGCATGCCCCTAGCAGAAACCAAACCTGGGCCTCACTGGTCTGCGGGCCCATGCCCCAACCGCTAAGCCAAACTGGCTAGGGCACGACAGTGGTATTTAACATGGGTCCTTCCACATCAACACCCACAGGGAAAAGTTTGCAGGCTCCAAAACCTACTGAGACAGCCAAAATAGTGAAACCAAAAAACAAATCCCAAAATGAAAGAACAAGAGAATTCTACAGAAGAAGAGATAAAGGAAATGGAATTAAGCAAGTTATCATAGGTA